TTCCCCCAAGTCCGCCGCTGCTGCTGCTGAAACTGACTAGAGGCAGACTTGGGGAAGCGACGGGGAAGAGCAGAGCAGTTGGGGTGCTGCCGGGTTGGTCCCACAGTGCCGACCCTCACCTCCCTGCTTGGTGATAACTACTGCAGTCTGGGAGGTAGGGAACCCACTCCCCTCCCGGAAACTCTCGGCAGCGGCGCGGGGCTTCCCCTGCCTTCCTGCAAAACGGCAGAGGGTTCGCCCTTGCCACACCATTCCCCGCGCACCCCCAGGACGCAGTGCAGGTACTGGCAGACCCATCACAGCCCCCCGCCAGTGTACCTCCCGATACTCCAGCATATCCGAAAATCCGGCACCACCTAGGTCCCAAAGGTGCCAGATTATCGGAAGTCTACTGTACTCAAGTGTCATGAGGCTCCTGCACTAAATCTCATTTTCAGACAATCAACTACCAGGCTATTAGTGGCAGCGGAATTACTGAATGTTCATAGTGTGCTTTATTTTTTATTAAATAGTGTACAGAACACAGGTTTAGAATTATTTCACCTGAGAAATTCTTTAAACTTTTTAATTTTATTTTTTTTGTCTGAGCAAATGGCAGATACCTCTATTGGATGTCATCTTATGCAAGTTACAGTCAATATTCAGTGGTTTTCTTTTAGGACACAGATTTAATGTCAGTAAGAGGGAATGTAGTTTTCCCTCTGTAGCTATTAGCAGGTCATTTCTCATGTCTGAGCAATCACCTAACATCAAGATCAGTGTTTTTAATTCTTTTTTATGTGTGTGCATATAATAGTAGATCTGTGAGTTAAAATCTGTCTGGAGGAGAATATCGAGGATGAAGCACTTAAATTATTTCTTTACATTGTTCAGTTCACACAAGGCATAAACAGTGGTTATAGTTTTGTTATCAAGTTCAAGTTTGCTTTTCAGTTGTTTTATGACATAATCACACATTTATTTTTGCCATTTTGGGGTGTGTAACAAGGTGGACCAGGCCCCAAAGCCTATGGTCCTGCCCCAGAAAGACTATAGAGAAGTCTGTCAAGCAGGCTAGAATGGCAGCAGAGGAAGCAGCCAATCAGGGGCCAGAAAGTCTCTATAAAAAGATCTGCAGGACCAGAGGCAGTTCAGTTCCTGTGAGGACCACAAGCTGTGCAGCCTAGCTGATTATCTGGCTGCTCTGTGGAAGACTGGAATATGATGATAAATCCCTGAGGTAAGGACGAAGAAGCTGTCTCCAGGAGGGGAAGCCCTGGAGGTGCCACTCCCTGCCAGAGTGAGGAACAGACTGAAGGAATAGACTTAGGAACACTATGGAGTCCAAGATGGGCCATTGTTAAATGTGTATCCAGAAGGGGTTTATATACTTCACACACAGGGTGAGAGACTCAGCTGGAGAGCTGAGTTGCTGAAGAAACTTTGAATAGAGGGTGTAGGCATACACACT